CTGGGAGCCCCACATGGCTCTGGAACCCCACACGGCCGGGAGCCCCACACGGCTCTGGAGCCCCACACAGCCGGGAGCCCCACACGGCTCTGGAGCCCCACACGGCCTGGAGCTCCACACGGCTCTGGAGCGTGGCGGTCACCACAGCACGGCCGCGCTGGCGGTGGCTCCGGCGCGCACAGAGTTCCCCCCTGTTAATCACTCCAGGCTGCCAAGCAGTCACGAGAAATATAAGCCCGCGCCGGGTTGCCATGGAGCAGGGCTCAGCTGCGGGAGCCTGAAGCCGATTCCTCCGGCAAACGTGTCTGCAGCCGAGGCCCTGCCAGCACCTCGCGTCCCTGGCTCCGCGGTGGCAGCCAAGCGGTGCCACACGCGTGGTCCCGGCAGAGCCACGTCTCTGACACTGCTACAGAGCCACACAGGGACAGTGCCCCTTGCCCTGGTGACAGTATCTCCCCAGGGCCATGGGCATGCAGAAGTGGTGGCTCTGGTGGTGGCATTTGGCAGCAGCAGCACAGACTGGCCCTGCACAATGTCTCTGCCCCAGCGCAGGGATGTCCCCAAGCCTCCATGGTGCTGGCACATGCTGGCCAGGGGGAATCGTGTCCTTCATGGGATCATAAAATTGTTTGGGTTGGAAGAGACTTTAAAGCTCGTGTATTCCACCCCCTGCCATGGGAAGGGACGCTTTCCAGCCTGGCCTTGGACACTTCCAGGGATCCAGGGGCAGCCACAGCTTCTCTGGGTGCCCTGTGCCAAGGCCTCCCCACCTTCACAGGGAAGAATTTTTTCCTAGTGTCTCCTGTAACCCTACTCTCTGTCAGTTTGGATCCATTCTCCTTGTCCTGTCTCTACAGCACTGCAACTCCCACATCCTGCCACAGCCCCCAGCCCCACCAAAGGGGATCTCAGAGCCTGGTGGGCTCCTGCCCTTGGCACCACATCAAACCATCTGCCAGGAGCCAGCCTGTGGCATCCCTGTCCCCAGCCCTGCACCAGAAACATGGGACCCATTCCCCAAAAACAGGAGTTTGGGGTTGGAAGGGGCATTCCCAGAGCATTTTTAATTAACCAACCGTGCCAAAGAGCTCATGTAAGTGGAGTTCCTCCCTACAAAAAGGCTTTTGACATTGAAAGGTTAATGTGAGAGAGATCCCTCTCCCTCACAAAGCTCCCTTTGCTGGAGGCCCTCGTTGAGCCCTTAATTATTCACCTGTTGGAGAGGTGCCTTTCCATTACAGCATGAGACAGGGCAGGGATGTGCAGGCAGGCAGGTGGGGGAAAACCCCCAGCGTGGGGCACCCCTGGGGTGGGGAACAGAGGTCAGAATCCCAGGGGGAAGGCAGGCTGGTGTGGGGGCAGGCTCTGAGGGGCAGGTTCCAGCCCAGCCCTCCCCTCCCTCTGGCTGCTCTCTCTCTCCTGGCTCAGCTCAGACTCTGCTGTGGTGGGGACAGCCACCAGCACCCCCAGCTCCAGCACGGTGACGGCCACCAGGACACAGCCACCCTGCTTCCCAGAAAACTTCAGCCTCCTCCAGCCCTGCCACTGCAGCAGCCCTTCGACCCATGCTGCAGCAATGCAGCTGAGGATGCATTTTGCACAGGCCCTCGGGCTGTCCATCGTCCAAACCCACCCCAAATCTTCGAGAGAAAAGCCACAGAAAGAGCATGATATCGATCAGCTCAGTGAGGACTATCAGAAATCAGAGATGCATCCCCATTTCAGCACTAGAAATGCCAACCCAGTGCAGGCTCACTGTGCCTCCTGCACTCATCGATGGATTAAGCTGTTAGCAGGAGGCTGGGAAGTTAAAGAGGGAATATTGTATTTCAGTTCATGTGATCTTTAAACATCCCTCTGAGAAGCAGCCTGGGTTCTTTTTATTATTATTTTTTCCCCCCTCCTGCTGCACTTTGTTTGGGATTTTTAAACGAATTGAAGCCGTTAGAGCCACAGTGCTCCAGCCTCTCACAGGGATGCTGAGAGCTGCTCCGTGGTGCTCTCGGCAGAGCTGCCTGGCTGGCACTTCCCAGTGCCTGGTGCCAGCAGATGAACCAGCTACAACCAGCTTCATACCTCTGAGCAGCAGAGTTGCACAAAATGGATTAAGCAGGCCCAGAAATGACACATTTTGAGGCGCAGCAGCACAAAATCACTTTTTTTTTTGTTGGGGGAAAAAAAAAGGAAAAAAAAGGAAAAAAAAAAGGAAAAAGGAGTTGGCAGGAGAAAGGCAGATATCAAGTGAAAAACCCTGATTTTCTTTCTGTAGCAATGCAGGTACCACGTGAATCATCGCTGTCCTCGATATGTAAATAGAGGTTAGCTGGCACCCTCAGCACAAACCCTTGTGAATAAGGGACTGATGCAGATACCCTGTCAAACCTCCCCTGTGCATCTCCCCAAGAACCTTGCTCAGGATTCCTCCCCTGGAAGGGAAGGGATCACCTGGCACCTGCACCAACTGCGCTTTTCTCACAACCTACTGCAAAAGCAGGACGGGGAGAAGCAGGGGCGAGAGAGCAGGAGAGTCCCAGTTCCTCAAAATTTCCACGAAGGAAACGGCCACAATTCATCATCCCGTGGCCTCCTGACAGCGCAGCCTCTCCGGATACCCTGCTCCATGCTGGGGCACTGGGGTCCCTGGGGCAGCAGCTTTGGGGCTCCCCGGAGGAGTCAGTAACCCAGTTGTAAGCAGAGGCTCGTACAGTAGTAATGGGGAGAGACGTCAGCGCCAGCCCGGCCCGCCTCCCGCTCCCAGTTAGAAGGCAGCATGTGACAGAGCCAGGGCTGGAGCCTTCCCCCAGTTTCATCAGAGGTTAAGGTACAAGCACAACACATGCTTACAACTTCAGGCGGTTCTTAAGCAAAGACATGCAAATCATAGCTCGGGGGGCGGCTGTTTTTTCTTCCTTTTTTCCATCTTCTCTTTTCTTCCCATCGCAGCCCTGAGCCCATCAGCGCACGTGGGGACAAGAAGAGGAAACGGAATTATCGAAAGCAGGCGCCGGACGGACGGGAGAGCGCAGAGGGGCTGCACGGGAGCTGCAGCGAGCTGCAAGGCTGCCCCCGCTGCTCCTCTCCTCCCACACCTGCAGATTTCAGAGCAGCGCTACCTGTGCTGCTCCCTCCAGCAGAGAGCACGCCGGGGACAGGGAGAGAAAACAGGGGACACAGCCAACTATGTTTCATCAACATCGTCTCATTTCAGCACAGGCCATTACACAGTTCCAAATTTTCCAGGGAATATTCACAACATGGTGGGCTTGCACCAGAGAGGGATGACAATTCATAGGATTTTTTTTCCCTCTCCCTTAGCAGTCGCTTTTCGGAATAAGATTCTTAAATTGGCACATCAAATGCTGACCAAAAAGCAAAGAAAAAGAGAAACAAGGCTCCAGGCACATGCTGCAACCATAAGGGCTTTTCATGTCATGATTAACACACTGAGAACAGGAGGGTTATTACAGGGAAGTGGAGCCAGGAACTTTCACCTGCTCAGGGAGCAGTGAGGCTGGTGGGAGCTGCAGCCTTTGTGCCATACTTCCAGGGGATGACATCCCACACACGCAGCCAGCTCGGGGGACAGTGTCCCACACAGCCAGCCTCCTCTCCTGCAAGCCGATGGGCTCCCTCAGCAATAACAAAATGGAAAAAACCCACAAAGTGCTTACAAAATCTCGGCCCACTTCTCACCTTTCCTGACCCTCCTGCTGTAATCAACCTGTCAGCAGCTCTCGGTTAAGAAGCCAGGCTGCCTGCCCCCCTGCTCTGCCCCCAGAAGCCGCCCGGTCCCGTGCCAAGCCGGAGCGCTCTGGCGCTGGTGCGGGCGGGCAAAGGTGCCGGGACTACATCAATCTGGCTGGTGGCAAGCCCTGCCTGGTTCTGTCTGGCACACGCACCGCGGGCAAATCTGATTTACCAGGTCTCGAGCCCGTGTTTGTTTTGAACCCAAACGGCGGCAGGATTAGCCCTGGTTCCTGTCCCCCACAAACGCACACGCTCCTGGCTGTTTGCAATCGCCGGGGCTGAACTGGTGAGAGAGCAAGGGTTGGGATGAATGCGCTCGCTTCACAATCAGAGCTATTTTGTAATCCGTGGTTATGAAAGTGAAGGGTCGGGGGGGGATGATAAATAACTACAGAAAACTCTTCCCACTTGCAGCAGCCTCATCGAGACGACTGCGAAATGCGCGGCCGTGCTCGGGCTCAGCCCCGGCTCCGGCTCCTGCCCGGTTTATTGTATAGCGCCTCTCTTGCAGCCCCCAAAATGGAAAAGCATGCGAGCCCTATAGCCAGCACGGCTCGCTCTCGTGATCCCGCCGGAGCTGCCAAGGAGCCTTAATCTGATTTTAATACCCGGCTCCGTCCAAAACACAGCCCATCCACATTTTGGAGCCGGCGACACGCAGCACCGAGACCCCTGTCGCTGTCGCACCCCCCCTCCCCAAACCTCCATCCCCCAAGATCCCAGCCCGTATGCGTGGAATTGACGCTCGGCATGACTCATCCCACAGCCCGGCTCTATCAGCCCCCACCGCGCAGCCCCCTGCAGAGTCCCCCCCACCACCTCGCCGCCCCCTCCCCACCTTCGGGGGAGCCCTAACAACCGGGGGGGTGCTTCTGCACCGAAACCCATCGCCCCTTCAACTTGTCCCCCGTCCCCCACAAACTGCCGGCCGATGGGGGAACGGGCTGGGGGGGCGCGGGAGTCCACGTGCGAGTGGTGCTGAAAGCGCCGGCGGGGCTGCGGGGCTGCGGCCGCCCGGGAGCCCCGGGAGGGGCGCGCACAGCCCCGCGGGCGGCCGGCTCCGCAGCCGCGGAGAGAGCGGGACCGCCGCACACCCGGGGCACCCGGCGGACGAGCCGGGCCCCGCAGCCCCGCTCCGGCAGCACCGGCTCTTCCCGGGGTGCCCCGGCAAGCAGCGGGGGGGGCCGTCCGTTCCCCCCTCCGGTGCAGCGCGCCGGGGAGCCGCGCGGCAGAGCCCCCCCCGCGCTGCCTACCTGGCTGTCCGCTAGGTAACTGAAGACGAAGGAGGAGAGATCCTCGTCGAGCAGAGAGCTGCAATCCGGCCCCGGCTCCGCCATCTTCCACCTCCGGCTGGGGCTGAGCACCGAGCATGCAGCAGGCGCGGCGGCGGGAGCCGGGCGGCCGGCGGGGCGGGGAGCGCGGAGCGCCGGGGCGGAGCCGCCCGCAGCCCCCGCCCGCAGCCCCCGCCCGCAGCCCCCGCCCGCAGCCCCCGCCCGCAGCCCCCGCCCGCAGCGGCTGCGGAGCCGGACACGGGGGGATCGCTGCGAGGAAGCGCCCCGGGGGCTTTGCAGACACGCGTGGGACACCACTTTTTGTGTGTCCCTTGGAAGTGCCACCCCGTCAAACAGGGGGTGCCACCGGCCCCTGGGTTGCTCCGAGTTTGGATGTGTAAGCGCTGGGTGCAGCGCGTCAGACCAGGGGGCACATCCAGGCTCTCTCTGACGCTTTTAAAGTAGTTCCTGCAGGAGTGCCTTCCCCAGGGACATGCACACGCAGAGGGAACCCACTTTGAGCAGTGCCACCGTGCACACCTTAAAATTGCCAGCGTTTAAAAGTGGGAGCACCCAACAGCACCAGGCACCTCTCAACAGTCCCCAGATCACCCCATTTGCAGTGATATTTGGAGATACAAAAACCCTGAGAGCCGTGGCTGGGCCAGGGGTCACTTCCAGGCTCGGTGGGTCTGCATGAAGTGGGACCAGAGGACTGCAGTAAAGAGTAAAAAGGAGCAAAAGATCTTCTGATTTTCCTTGTTTTCATTTCAGCTGCGGCTGTGAGCATCTTGATGTCACGCACGTCATCTTTCTGTCTGGGGTTTTGAGGCGTATCCTAAAAGCCCTTTCAGAAATAATTAATGATGGGACCAAAAATCTCATGAATGTTCTATTTACTTACCCATAGCAATTACATGGGAAAGAGCAGGGCTTGGCACTGCAGCCTGAATTAGCTGATACACAACCAACCAAGTGGCAACACCTGCAGCCTAATGGCTCCAAATCCTTGATTCCCCTCAGACTGCCTAGACAGGCCTGCAGGGTCACCGTAAAGAGCTGATGGAGCAAAGTCATGTGGAGCTATCGGGGTGGGGAGCTCTGTGCCAGGCTCTGAGGGGTGAACAGAAAGTGCTTCTTCCTCTGGCAGGAAAGGCCTGTCCGTGTTCTCTTTGCTGTTGTTTCAAAGGCAGAGCTGTTTCCAGCCACTCTTAATTCCCTCTGGCCTCCCTTTGGCTCAGGACATGTTGTGAACACCACGCAGTGGAGCAACACTGGGTTTTCCCTGATGATCCCAAGCCTTGCACCAAAGGGAGATGTCAGGAACAGCATCTGTTGTGTCACACTGGTGAGAGCTGCAGGCCAGAGTGGCCTGGCTGCTGGGATGGGACAAAGCAGCTTTTCCTCGTTGCTGTGCACTCTAGTACTAATTACTGATGCCAAAACATTTACCCAAGGTGCTTTTTCGGCTGCCCTGCCAGCAGTGAAACTTCTCTTCCCATGGGTGGGAGAACTGGGCCCCGCCATGCCCTGCCAGGATTTCCAGTCACAGCGGGCACAGCACACTCAGCAGGGCCAAGGAAGGAAATTGCCTTGCTCTGGGGCATGTGCAATTCCTTGAAGACTGGGACTCAAATTCCCAGCTGACCCCACTGAGCAGTGATCTCACGTGCATTCCTTTCCTTGCACAAGATGCAAGTGATGAAGGCTCTGGTGTGATGAAGATGAGCTGAGAACAGAAGGGAGGTTTGCTCCATCAGGGCTGGAAGGCCTCACCACACCAGTCCTTTGGGAGGAATTTGTTGCACAAAAGGCGAGGTTTGCACTTGTGTATCTCGTGATTTCCTTTGCATCATCTGTACTCAAATGGGAAGTAATATTCATGGGAATTACTCGTCAATTGTCATTCAAAAATCAAGTTGTGCATAGCTGGGTTTTTCAGAAATACCTTTTCCCTTCTGGTCCATGTGCAAGCACATTTCCTCCTCCCTTTCTTTCTAACGGAGGACATGAGCCCTTCCCAGCCTCCAGCCTGCAGGACACCCCCCCAGCAGCAGCCACCCCCAGGCATGGAGGAGCATGAGGAAAGCAAAGCCCAGCCTGCACTGCCCCATTCCCCCTCTGAACAGACAGCTGAGGGCTTCTTCCAGCCCTGCAGCAAAACTGGATGTGACATTGGGGTCAGACCCCCTTGTGCTGGGAGGGGGACACAGGACAGCAGAGAACAATGGGGCATCTTGGCCAAGTGGACTTTCTGCTGCTTCTGGGTTTCTGTGGGATCCTGCAGGATGAAGTACAGCTGCTGACGTGGCTGCAAGTTGTTGTTGACCTGCCCAACTTCAGCTCCTGACTGCTCTGGACTTTCGCACAGTCCAAGCATTTTTCTGTGCCTTTTGGTTCTTTTCACCTATGAAATGGAGATCACACCACTTCCCTGTGCCCTGCAGTTTCTGGAGGAATTGGTTGAATAACACTCACAAAAAGGGTTTCGGAAGCACCAGGAGAGAAGAGAAGGAGGACAGGACGTTATAAGTGGTGTTGTCTCCACCTTCTTAGAAGTCAGTCATGTGGCAGCCTCAGAAACACCTGCGGTGGGTAGGGATGGTGGTGGTGTGAATGGGACATCACATTGCCCGTGTCACACACCCTGCCCTGTGCACAGAGCCAGCCAGCTCTGCCGTGTGCTCACAGCTTCCCTCCTCAACCAGACCCCGAGCTTCGAGAGCAGGGCAGCTGCCAGAGCTCCAGCTCCTGCTGCTCTCTGCATCTATGGACTCCAGGAGGTGTCAGCCCCTCTCGAGCAGAGTTAAACCCCCTGTGCCCACCCTGGCCTGGCAGCCCTGGCTGTGCTGGAGTGCCCCGTGGCACCGCGCGGCCGCTGCAGCAGACACTCGATGCTCAGCCCGGAGGGGCTGGGGATAACATTACCGAGGTAAAATATAACAGGAAATCTTGCAAATGTCCTTTCAAAACAACAGCGAGCGAGTAATGTCATTGGGCCAGCGGTCAGGAGGGGACAGGGTTTGAAGGTACCCTGAGCCTGCCAAGGGCCAGGCGTGGGACAGGGGCCGGAGCCAATGAGCGCCGGCTGGGCAGGAGCCACCCCGGCCCGGCGACCGCCCGCCCTCGCTCTCACGTTGCAGCTGCCTCTGTTTGTGGATGGCAAAGTGTTGTAAGGAGCGAGCAGTGAGAGGCAGCGGCAAATGGGGCTGCTCCGAGGAGTTACAACACCCGCAGCCCCCGCTGGTGACGCTCTCTGCTCGGCACTCCCGTGGCATGGGGGCACTGGCGCGGTGGCCGCTCTGGCTGGGGACGGGAAAGGCTTTGTGGGCTGGCAGGAGCTCTGTGAGCCGCTGCTGGGTGAGCTGGGGGCAGCTGAAGGGGAAGGTGTCCCCAGGCTGCCCAGAGCCCTGCCCTGCAGCGCTCTCCATCCACGCAGGCTGCTCAGGCACGCACAGAGGTTGGCAGTGCCATGCCCAGGGTTTCGCTGACTTTCTCTGCCTGGCTCCTTTCCACGAGCTCTGCTTTCCCTTCCCCACAGCCCTGCTCAGCACTCGGCTCAGCCTTATCCTTCACCTGAGATCACGAGCACAGGGACAGAGTGTTGCTTTCCCTCCATGCTTTCTGTGCCTCATTAGCTGTGTGCACCTGGGAGCTCCCGTCTCCTCCTCCTCCTCCTCCTCGGTGACAGGAGGGCTCTGTTATGCTTCGTGGCCAGCAAGGAATGAAAGTCTGATGTCCTCTCTGCCACAGGGCTGAGGGACTGGCCCCTGGGCTGGAGGGGACCTAAGAAACAAAAGCGGATTTTGAGGGCAAGGCGGGCTCCTGGCTCTGAGACCCAGCTTGTCCAGGGGGCAGGGCTGAGCCTCTGGTAGTTCAGAGATTGCCATTGCTGCTCCAGACTCCCTCAGCACCACTGGGGAGTGATGTCCCACTGTGCCACAGGCACAGCCCTCAGGCAGGCACACCAGGACACCATGGATGCTCTGCCTGTGCTGGGCCACAGCCCCCCAGGGCCCTCTCTGTGCCAGAGGCAGAGGGTCCCTCCCCCTGTGCCACCTGCCAGGCTCTCTGCAGCTCCTTGCCCGGAGCAGGGGTTGCTGCAGCTCTGTCAGAGGAGCCTGTGGCCAGCACTGAGGGCTGAGGGATGCACCCGTGCAGGGTGATGCTGTGCAGTGCTGCAGCCTGCCCCACCCTGAGCATGCTCCTCTCCCAAACTGCAGCCTGGAGCGTGCTGGGGAGGCAAATCCACACAGTTATTGCAGAGAAAACCTGTCAGGAGACAAACGTGATGGCAAAGGAGCAAGAAGGGGCTTTTGTGGCTGCATTGTTGAAACAGATGGGAATTTCCTGGAGCAAGAGGCAGAGGAGGGTAGGGATGGCTCCTGCATGATGGCTCACGCTGCCCACCAGCTGTGTGGGCCGAGCAGGGGACCAGGATGCCCATTGACTCCTTATGGCACTTTCAGTGACTCATTTGTCCACAGAAGCAGCACACCCACAGCAGCTGAAGCAGCCTGTCCTCCTCCCCAGGCTGCTCTGGCACAGCAGGGCCAGCCGGCCCCTTCTGCCTGGGGATGAGAGGCTGGCAGCAGCCCAGGGCACTCGGCTCACGCTGTACCTCACTTCATCTGGGGGAAGGAACACGCTGTCAGAGACCTTGCCCTGCTCCTTCTGCACTGCCTGGCATCCCAGCCTGCAGCCCCAGCCTGCCCCTCGCTGTTCCAGGGCCGGTGCCCCCCGTGCTGCCCTGAGCAGCCTGGCACAGGGCACCAGCCAGCTGTGGGACCGGCAGGATGGCCCCATCTGCTTCGTGTCCCTCGTGTCCCTCTCACTGCAGCTGAGCTCGGCTCTCCCACAGCCCTGGCAGCTCTCACACTGTGCTGCCAGTGTCTGTCACAGCCCATCCATGTCACCCCACTGGCCTCTCGCTGCCCCCCCCGCCTCATCCCTGCCTGCTCCTGGTGCTGCTGCCTGGGCTCCCTTCACTGCCCATGCCTGCCTGGCAGGCCTGCACCAGGAGCTGGGCTGTCTCCTGTATCCCCACCATGCTGCTGCCAGCTGCT